AAAGAAAAAGAAAAACATAAATGTGAGAGAGAACGACAGAGAGAGAGAGAGAGAGAGGGAGAGAAGGAAAGATTAAGAGATAAAGATAGAGGGAAGTTAGAGAGAAAGAAGTGAGAGAGAGTGGGAGAGAGGCAGAGAGAGAGGGAGAGATAAATAGATAGATAGATAGATAGATAGATAGATAGATAGATAGATAGATATATGAAAACATAAATAAACATACAGCGATAGATATATATTGACAGAAAAACAGGCACAGGCACAGATGAGAAGTGAAAAGCAGTTAATGACGAACAGACAGGAATTAACAGACAGACATATATATATATATATTTATATATATATATTATTTATACATACATATGTATATATATATATATATACATATAGATAGATAGATAGATAGATAGATAGACGAACAGTCTAGCAAAGACGCAAACTAATGCATATATATATGTATGTGTGTGTGTGTGTGCGTATCTCGATAGATGCATACATATATGTATTTATACATGTATATATATATATATATATATATATATATATATATATATATATATATATATATATGTATTTAGCAACATATATTTTGTCGAAAATATATATATGTATATATATATATATATATATATATGAACAGATGTCGATACATATATACGACCATAGCAATATTTCCCATTTCTTACTTCCTCATTTATGACACTAAAATCAACCTCATTCAGTTTCACTCTACCTTGAGTGGCTCTTGGTTTAACAGCAATAGAAATCGGCAATGTAAATCAAATGATACAATGATACAACATATATATATTTATATATACCTTAGTAAATACATGCACATATACAATCAGAGTAAAACACTGAAAACTCTTTCCCTCTTTTCATATGTAAATATATATTTATATATATATGTGTGTGTGTGTGGGTGTGTATGTGTGTCTGTGTGTGTGTGTCTAAGTTTTGTTGAGGTAGCAATCCTACTTTTATACAGGTTTCATTTAAAATGACTGAAAAATATAAAATGCTTAATCCAGCTGCCTTGTCAATCATTTTCAATGAAATATATATATATATATATATATATATATATATATATATATATTGAAAATGACTGATAGCTATATATATAAATATATATACACAAATATATACGAACAGAGACCAGGTACCAATATGTCTTATTATCTTTTAACCAATATATATATATATATATATATATATATATATATATATATATATATATAAACAATTTGGGTATGTATAGCATCAGGGATTTTACAAGCCGAATAATTAAAAAAGGTAACTTTACCTCCGTAACTGATATCGTTTGGTGTTTTTGTTTTCTCTCTTTCTCTTTTTTTTTTTTCGCCGTAAAAATAGTCTTGTCACTTATACGTTGGTTGTTATCGATTTGAAATCAAACTACCCAGGTTTTCTGGACCCTCTTTGAGTTATGGCCGTCAAGTTGCTGCGGCGAAACGGGACGCACTGATCGGTCTGTTTGTTGCTTGCTTTTTCCTCGCTGGTAACGAGGCGGCGGCTTTAAAAACTACACCTCGCGTCGGCGTGGGCTACGCGAGTCAACACGAAACCCCTCCCGTCAGTCTCGTTACCGGTATTCCACACGCCCTTTGCTCTCTCTCTCTCTCTCTCCCATTCTTGCTCTCCCTTTCTCTCACCCTTACTCTCCCTCGCTCTCTCCCTTGCTCTCCCTCACTCTTTCTCCCTTGCTCTCCCTCTTTCTCACCCTTGCTCTCCTTCACTTTTTCTCTCTTGCTCTCCCTCTCTCTCCCTTATTCCCCTCTCTCACCCACTCTCTCTTTGTTTCTCTTTTCTTTTTTAGTTTGTCTCAGCCCGCTCTCTTTCTCTTTCTATCTCTCTCTCCCCTTGATGTCCCCCCACTGTACTCTTCCATTGCCTATATGTATCTTTCTACCTCATTTTCATAGACGATCACCACCGCCACTACCACGATCATCATCTCTTTGCTCTCCGCACCCTCTTTCCATCCGCTTTCCACTCCCTCAGCTACAATTAAACATTTCTCTCTTTCTCCCTCTCTTTGTATGCCAATGTCACGATGCCTCTCTCTTTCCACCGTATTCGCCTCTCCTTTCAAAATAGAAATACATTAAAACGGAAAGAGGTTTCCTCGCCATTGAAGGATAGTGAGAAAGTCCAATTCGTTCGGAGATCATTACGACTTTAGTTAAGTTCATTCAAAAGTGGAAGACCCACAAGATGTCACAGTGCCAGCCCCCAAAACTCTCTGTCTCTCTCTCTCTCTCTCTATATATCTATATATATATATATATATAAATAACATTATATCTCTTTTGTCAAAATCTACAAACATTCCATCAACGACATTGAAAACTCTTCCATAATTGTTTATATATATATATATATGAATATAGCGTTATCTATATTTTTAGCACGCTTTAATATCTATCTACTGATTAAAACTCTACATATATATATATATATATATATATATATATATATGATTATAACGTTATCTATATTATTATTACGCTTTAATATCTAGTAATTAAAATTATATATATATATATATATATATATATATATATATATATATATTTCGGAGGACAGATATTTTCTGTGAAAATTTCTCAGACATTCAGGCCAGTAAATGTTATTATATACTGTAAACAGAGTATTTACTTAAATATTTGTATCTATAAAAAGAATGTATAAACATAAAAATGTCTTAATATATTAATATATATATATATATATATATATATATATATATATATATATATATATATATATATATAGGGCATAGGACGTGGTGTATTGGTTAACACGTTTTTCTCGCGAGATCAGCTAAAAGTGGGTAGTGAGTCCGATCTTTACTAGGACTTCAGATGACGGCCTTGTGCCACATCTCAGCTGCTTACTAAATTATATATATATATATATATATATATATATATATATATATATATATATATATATATATATAAATGTATATCTCTCTTTCTATTGAGAGAAAAAAAAACAGACATTTTATATATGGAAATATTTACATACAGCTACTACAAAGCAATGGGAATATCTATACATACATCCATATGTATACATATATATATATATATATATATATATATATATATATATATATATATATATATATATATATATATAATGTACTTTTACTTTTGTAAATCTCGCTCTATTTATCTATACTTTTAATATAAGACACACACACACACACACATACATACATACACACATACATATATATATATATATTTATGTATTGTCTTTTATTTCGCAATTGTCACTAACCTATAGACATTTTCCTCCTTTTCCCGATAAATTAGAGACATCATATTTAGTCCCAACCCCCCGGAGAGCGTTTCTCCTCTCTCGCTCCACCCTACCTACTCCCCACCGCCTCCGTGTTTATAATATACACCCTTTGTAAACTTATTTCTCTCTCTCTCTCTCTCTCTCTCTCTCTGTCCCTATCTCATTATTGTTTTATTTTTAATTTCCCTCTTTCTTTTTTTGAATTTTTTCTCTCCCTCCCTCTCCCTCCCTCTCACAAATATACTTCTTTTCTCACTCTCTCTAAAACACACACGCGGTCACTTTTTCACTCACGGACCCGCGCCCTTTTTCTTCTTTCAAATATCAGATTTTATTTCTCCTCCTCTCAGACCTCGATTCGATCTCTCTCTCTCTCTCTCTCTTGCTATCTCTCTCTAACACTCTCGCCTATTAAAATTGTATTCTGATTTTTTGTCTCTAATTTTTCTATTTTTAAACCAGTCTCTCCGAAATTATTATTATTATTATTATTATTATTATTATTATTATTCTCCTCTTCCTTCTTCATCTTCTTCTTCTTCTTCTTCTTCTTCTTCTTTTTTCTTCTTCTTTTTCTTCTTCTTCGTCTATTACTTCTTGTCGTTGTTCTTCCACTTCTTCTTCTTCTTCTTCTTCTTCTTCTTCTTCTTCTTCTTCTCCTCCTCCTCCTCCTTCTTCTTCTTCGTCTATTACTTCTTGTTGTTCTTCTTCCACTTCTTCTACTTCTTCTTCTTCGCCTCCTCCTCCTCCTTCTTCTTCTTCTTCTTCTTCTTCTTCTTCGTCTATTACTTCTTGTTGTTGTTCTTCTTCCACTTCTTCTTCTTCTTCTTCTTCTTCTTCTTCTTCTTCTTCTTCTTCTTCTTCTTCTTCTTCTTCTTCTTCTTCTTCTTCTTCTTCTAATTTCTCGTTCTTCTTCTCCCTCAGCTTTCTCCTTCACCTCCTCCTACATATTTTTGCTTTCTCCTTCTCTCAGCCCGATACTTCTTTCTTTCTTTCTTTCTTTCTTTCTTTTCCCATTACATATTCTTCTACTATATCTCTTCACTACCCTGATTCTCTTTCACCTTCTGTCTCTCTCTCTCTCCCTCTCAATCTCTCTCTCTCTCTTTCAATCTCTCGTTCATTTTTCATATTTAACTTTTATTTATCCCCCCCCATTTCACGTGGTTCTCCTTTATTTCCTCCCCTTTTCATTTTCTCATTTAGCCTTTCTTTCCAAAATCATTTCAATAATAACCCAAAGCTTGCCTAACTTCTTGCAATCTTTTCTTCACACAACAAGAATTGTTATTCGGCTATGTTTGATAATTTCTATCTATCTATCTATCTATCTATCTATCTATCTATCTATCTATCTATCTATCTATCTGAGTCTGTTCATTATCTATCTATCTATCTATCTATCTATCTATCTATCTATCTATCTATCTATCTATCTATCTATCACGGTCTTTTCATATCTATCTATCTATCTATCTATCTATCTATCTATCTATCTATCTATCTATCTATTCCAGTTTCTTTATCTATCTATCTATCTATCTATCTATCTATCTATCTATCTATCTATCTATCTATCTATCTATCAGTACCCCATCTCTCTCTCTAACTATATGTATATCAAGTCGTTTATACAAGTGGGTGCCTGAGGTAATTTCCATCTAATGTAACCAAATGATAAAATAGGGTTTCTTGGACATACTAAAAAACACACATGCATAAACGCTGATAGATAATGAATAGATGAATAGATGAATAGAATAGAATGAATGGATAGATGAATGAAGAGAGAAGAGAGACAGATAGATAAAGAACATAGATCGATAGATACCAAGATAGATAGATAAAGATATAGGTAGGTACATAGAGAGAAAGAAAGGAAGATAAATACATAATGAACATAGATAGATAGATAGATAGATAAGGAGGTATAATTGATATGGGGAAAAGTTAGCTAGCTCGACAGATACAGACTAAAAGAGATTGATTCATTTTCTACGGCTTATCAGCCGTTTTTAGGTCATTTAAAGCCAGAAAATATGTTTAGATCGTATGAATTTTGAGTGCGACGGGTGGAGGTATATAGTAATAATTTAGTGATACAAGTTTTACGAATTAATCCATAGCTGGAGGGAGAATGGGCGGATTCATTCCCTTCCCGAGGGTATTTTACGCTTAAGTGAATGCAACGAACCGAACGAGAATT